AAATATAATTAAAAAAAACTAACCCTCTCCCAAATTTACCCCTCCCCCGAAATACAGCTGTGAGCAGCAGGAGCTGAAGAGGAAAGGTATAAACCCATGGGCAGAAAGAACCAGCTACAGGGAGTGTGAGCCAAGCAAAGGTCTCAGGAAAACAGAAACTGAAGGAACAAGCTATCAGCAAGAGAGAAACAAGAGTGGACGGAGTGAAGGAGGCAGGCCAGAACAAAGGAAGACCGGAAGTCAACCCAACAAGCAAGCTTGGCTCCCTTGCTGTGCAGCCTACTGGTCAGTATACCTCATAAGCAACATCCCCCCCCTTTTTTAAGATAAATTATTGAACTTCTACCGTTTATGCTCAAGCCACAGCACATGTGTGGAGGTCAGAGGACAGCTCTAGGGAGTCAGTTCTCTTCTTCCACTTTGATGTGGCTCTAGGGTTAGAACTCAGATCACTGGCTTATGCCACAAGCACATTTTACCCGTTGAGCCATCCCACTGGCCTTAGACTATCAACCATCCAGTTTTCCAGTGAAGGAGCTGGCTTGTTTGTACATCAGAGAGGACAGGTTCTCTGGGAGGAAATAGGATAAGAGACCTCAAAAAGCCTTGATGTGAGTCTGTGACTTAGGACATTGGTCATAAACCTCATATGCTTGGTTTCTTTAAAGCACTTCCATAAATTTAGCCCAATTATTATCATAAACACCCCTCAATGCAGTGGAAAGGTGACGACAGTAGTGGGATAGAGACAGTGGAATGACTGTTTGCAGGGAGGAAACCAAGGCTCAGGGGGGCTAGATAACTAGGGCAAGGTCGCTCACCTAGTCAAAGTCAGGGTTGAGATATGTGGACTTTAAGGCAAATGTTTTTCTATGCTTCTCTACAGCTCTCCGTTAGTCGGGTTTTCCATTTGCCATGAATCTTCTGGGTCCTAGTCAAGCCATGCAGACCTCAGTGCTGCAGGAAGCCCTAGGGACCCCACGTGTGCTGCACAAACCACCTGCTGTCTCCTTACCAAGGTGCTTCTGCAGGAAGGCCAACATGGCTCGCACCATAATCTCCTGACCTTCATAAGGATCCAATGTCCCTCGAGTGTGACTGGAGAGGAATTTGGCAATCAAGTTGCCAGTCACAAAAGCAAAGTCGGTTTGGCTCCGATGAACAACGCCACTAGAGGAAGAGAGAAACAATTGGTCGATGTGAGGTTAGGCATGCTCATGTAGCAAGCACCTTTTGTGTGCAAGGGGATTCCCGTGCATCACATGTAATTATCCCAGCAGCCATCAAGGAAGCACTTCCTCCTGTGAAAGCATCTCAGGAGGAAAATGGTTTGCGCAGGACACACGAGTGATAGGGAACAGAGACAGGATTTGAACCCCGGTGAGGCTGGCTGCAAAGCTGGCTCAACTCCTAGACCACAGTGCCTGATAACACATGGAATGCAGGGATAACAAAGGGTCAGCTTGTTAGAGGGGAGCAGGGAGAGGGAGGGAGGTATCCAACACCTGCCTTACTGTTACGTCACGGCTTTTATCTAGTGACTCCAAACATTCATAAAATATATGTCACTGTCAGAACAGAATAAACAGGGAAAAGAAAACTTGCTTTTATTTAATTTAATTATCAAAACAGTGAGGGCATGTAGAGGTGGGTTTTAAATTAAGTCCTTTGGCTGTAAATATATTCACTTATTCATTCATTTGCGGTGCTAAGAGTTGAACCCAGAGCCTTGCATGTGCTAGGCAAAGGCTCTACCACTGAGCTACTTCCCCAGTCCTCTAAACACATTTTATTCACAGGTGAAATTCTTACTAGAGTCACTTTGAGCTAAATTACATAATTCAATTGAATAAGTGACAGAAAATCTGAATGCTAAAGCATCTGATGAGGCAGAAAGTTTGATTTTTTAAAAATTATGAGCCAGGCTTGATAGCGCATGCCTTTAATCCCAGCACTTGGGAGGCAGAGGCAGGCAGATCTTTGAGTCTGAGGCCAATCTGGTCTACATAGTGAGTTCCAGGTCAGCTGGGGCTACAGGCACACCCTGTCTCAAAAAGACAAAAAACCAAAATTTATTATTTAAGGCACATTAAAAAAATATTGGACACTTGAGTATCCAGTACTCAATTTAAGAAATAAGCTGGGCATGGTGGTGCATGCCTTTAATCCCAGCACTCGGGAGGAAGAGGCAGGTGGATCTCTGTGAGTTCAAGTCCAGCCTGGTCTACATAGTGAGTTCCAGGACAGCTGGGGTGTCATAATTGCTTTGGCTTAGGGCTAAAATAATGGCTCAGCAGTTAAAAGTACTTGCTGTTCTTGCAGAGGACCCAGGTTCAGTTTCCAGGCCCCCATATGACAGCTCACAATGGTCTGTAGCTCCAATTGCAAGGGATCTGATGCCCTCTTCTGGCCTCCAAGGCACCAGGCACACATGCACATACATACATGCAGGTAAAACATACATACACATTGGTCACAAATGACCAGGTCTGACTGGCTTGGAGAACTGCTTGGGCAGTCCTGCCTATACCAATGCTATGAAGTTAAAATGAAAGAGGTGGAGGAGGGCGGTGGGCTGGTTAAGGGCACTGGTTGCTCTTGCAGAGGACCCAGGTTCAAATCCCAGCACCCACATGGTGGCTAACAACCATCTGTAACTCTAGTTCCAGGGTTCCGACACCTTTTCTGACCTCTGCAGACACTGCCGACACAGGTACACTTACACACATGCAGGCAGTACACTTAAACACATAAAATAAAACAATAAATAAAATATTTTTAAAAAATGGAAGAGGTGGGGCTGGCCCTCGGAGAAGCTAGGCCAGGGTGGGCAAGGGGACACGCTGCCACTCTCAGTAGACTGGCATGTGGGGGTTTGGTGAGCCATGTGTTTCTGCTGCCTAGTGAACCAAAGGTACCCAAGTCTTTTTGATGTAGGGACTGGGCCCCTGATGCCTGTGAGCTGTGAGGCTTGAGCACAGGGAAGGAGCAAGTCAGGGAACACTCTGGTGACACAAGTGAGGAAAATGTGGTTTCATTTGGTCAGAATTAAATGGGTTTGTTCGATTTGATTTACTTTGTATTTCTGAGTCAGAGTCTCATGATGTTGCCCAAGCTGGCCTTGAACTTTTTTGATCTCCCTGCCTCAGCTTCCTGTGTACTGGGATTATAAGGATATACCACCCCGTTCAGCTTTCATGAGTGGTTTTTGGAAGAAAGCCTGTTAGGGTGACGAATCTGGGTATTCATGAAAGTTCTATCAATCTTGTGTTAAAGTCTACTACAACCATACTCTGAAAGACGTAATACAATTCCTAAACGAGGCTAGAAGTCTCTGGAACCCCTCAGACCCAACACAAATGTCCCCACACCACTTTTCCAGAAAGTACCAGGTAAATCCCACCATGTAACTGGATAAACTGTTAAAGAAATCACAGGAAGTAGAGCTGAGCAGAGAAGAGAGACACATGAAATCCTAAAGCAATTATCATTTTAGAATTCTGGTAGTATTCTGATATGCTGCTAATGGGTAGAAAGTTCTGGATAATCCAAAAGAAATGAGCCAACTGATAAAAACGGATGGGACACTAGGTCATGTCTCTGGGGGGGAGGTACTCACAGGACAGTTATGATCCTGGACTGTTCATGCTGGGAACATATCTTCTTCATCAAGTTCACGCTCTCCACTGTCTGGAATTTCTCAGCATTGATAAAGAACACAGGGCCCCGGGCCTTGGGGTAAAAGTCATGTTCCAGAGGAAACATCCAAGCATCCAGGGCCACAGCACACCTGGAACAGACAGACATTTGGAGCTGTCACTAAGAAACTCTGGCAAGAATAGTTGGGTGACAGGGGCGGGGACTGGATTCTTCCCTCCAATGAGCCAAGAAAGTTAGGAAATGGGTGCCAGGACCCACACCCTTTGGATCTTAAATAGGGCTCCCTTTTACCTGTCACTAAAGAACTTTCTAGAATTTAAACTCTGAGAGCAACAGTCAGAGCTCCTTCCATGGATCTAGCCTCAGGTGACAGACTCCAGTTCTGCAGAATGGCACTTCATTCATTTAATCATTCATTTGTTCAAAGTTCACTGAGTGACTACTGTGTGCTTAGCCCTGTGCTTTGGATACAGAGATCAATGGCAGAGTCTTTACTGGGCTCCCAGGGAGCTCCCGGGCCAGGAGGGGAGACTGAGAGAAAGGGTAGCAGAACTACAGTGCAGTGCCCTAACTGCACAAGATACCATGTATGCCCAGAGCCTGGGTGGCAGGTGAGGATAGGAAACCTTCTTGGTACTAAGGACCAAACTATGGCACTATGATCAGATGTCCACACTCTCCATCTTCTCCATCTCAGCAAGGGAAACTCACTTCAACTCAAATGATGGGCAGAGTACCGAACACCTTCCTTTCTCCTTTCCTTCACTGTGCACATCATAAAGGCAGACCATGCCAACACATCTGACTCCACTGATTCTCTCCAACGTCACACAAACCCAGGCCCTCTGCGGCAGTCTGACATGGCCTACCTCCAACCAGCCTTTGGTCTGTGATACTGCTCCCCCTACTCCCCGCTTAAAATCCTTTAATAATGAGATAGTGTCCTTCCCGGGTTTGCTCTGAACTCTGTGATCCTCCTGCCTCAGCCTCCTGAGTGCTGGGATTATCATCATGAATAGTGAGATTATCAGCGTGTGCTATGCCCAGCTATTCTCACCTGTCTATTCTTTATTGCATTTGAGTGCTGAGGATTCCACTGTGTTAGCTTCTTTACTGGTCAGCTTTCTCCCACAATAACATAATTTCATGAAGTCAGAGATCTTATTTTGTTGATCACCACTGAATCCCCAGCCCATCAAACAGTACCTATAGCATGATATTTGTGTAATAAATTCCTGTTGAATGAATGAATGAATGAATGAATGAATGGTATGTGAGCTGGGGCAACAGCATCAACAGGCACTCACCGGAACTGAGTCTCCTGTGCCAAAGCCAGAACAGCTGTAGCTCCTCCAAATGAGTGTCCCATCACGGCTACTCGGCTCATGTCAATGCTGCCCTGAGGGAAGTAGAGAACTTAGCCAGACACCCAGGACTGCCTGCCTGTTTGGGACTTTCTCAGGGGTAAGAGAAGAAACTGGAAGGGAATGAAGTAAGGGTATGATGCAGTAGGTAAACCCACCAGAGACAAAGCATTACAGCATCTGTTTGAGGTGCAGTTGTACACCCCTATCATCCCAGCACCAGGCTGAGTCAAGAGGATGCTGAGTTCAAGCCCAGCCTGGGTTACACAATGATACTGTCACAAAAACAACAAAGGAACCTCTGGGGTACAGCTTAGAACCCCTCAAAGAACCTCTTTTTTAAAATTTTATGTGTATGAGTATTTTGCTTCTGGAACTAGAGTTACAGATGGTTGTGAGCTGCCGTGTAGGTGCTGGGAACCAAACCCAGGTCTTCTGCAAGGGCAGCACGTGCTACTGAGCCATGTCTCAGCCTGAGCATCTTGTCTACTAGAGAGCCAATCCTTGGTGTGATGGCCTTCTGAGGACTGTTTTTCATCTTGACTTTGTAATTTGCCATGTGATAATATTGTCTGGGGTAAGCATTCAAATGTCTGTCAGTAAACAGAAGTTGACAGGCTTCCATTGGTTATTGGTCTGAGAGTGTGCTGAGAAGCAGCTCTCTCCATCCTCCATAGTTCCTGTCTCATGAGCTGGTCCTCAGGGATGCCACAGAGCACCTTGAGGGGCTCCGGAGAATCCTGTGGCCCCCCATTTTGCTCTGAAGTGAGAGCTGCTTGTACAGAAACCAATTCAGGTTCCACTTCCTCTCTGCATCTGTCCTAGTTTTTAGCCCTGGCCCAGGGGAGAGTCTGTTCTGCTGATCTATTTCTGCTTGCTCCCAGAAACCTTTAGGGCATAGTTATATATGAAAAAAAAGCCACCACGGCTGCCTGAGATGAGCTGGGGAAATCTCTCTAGGCTTTGCAGGCTGGTCTCTGCTCAGAAGCCTTGCTCTTTCCAACGTCTAGCTCAAGGCTGTGTGCCTAATTCTCCTGCTTTAGGACCTTCAGATCAGCAAGCAGGGTGGATGGCCTCCTTGGCTTTTTTAAATAAGTGAATGTGCTCATGTCCCTCCTAAATCAGAAGTACACAGAGAAGTCTCCCACCTACAGTTTCTTTCTCACATAGCTGCTGCTTCTTTCCCAGAAACTGGTACAGCTTCCCAGCACGCTCACAGCAGAGGCCTCTGCAGCGAGTAAGTGTGAATATGCGCACTGTGAATATGCGCACTCCCCTTTTCCACGTGGTTCTCCTGCTAAAGCCTTTGCATAGCGATTTAAGTACAGAAACTGCTTCCTTGAGCTTCCCTCCAGCTACATTTGACTTCGCTATGGAACAGACAGCTGACTGCTCACCAAATCGGTGCCTGGACACAGCTAGACAACTTCTGTGGTTACCTGTGGCTTTCCTGATGGTCCTAGCCAACAAAGTGTGTGGGCAGAAGCGCTATCTCCACTTCCAAGTGTAGTCCATAAAAGTTCCTGGGCAAGCTCCCTGCCCGTGCCATTCCCCTGCTGAGTGCATACAGTACATATGGGACTCAGGAGTGAAGATGGCAGTGCCCCAGAACAAAGCCCAGGGCAATGGGGGGCTCGGTGGTAGAGTGGCTCTCAAGCATGAGCAGGGCCCGAGGTTCAACCCTCAGTTCTGACAGGAGCCTGGGTTCCTGAACTGCCTCTTGCATCTGTGGGCTTTGCATAGGGGAGAAACACGTCCTATTGGATGAAACCACTGAGAGGCTAAATGCCTGCCTGGCAACTAGCCTTCCCCAGGGCTCTTACTGGACCACTCAGGCTCTTGACTGCTCTTATGAACAATGTGGGCATGAATATGCACCCGTCATACCGCATGACTGGAAACTACTGGATCAAGGAAAAAGTGCTTTTCTGTTATGCGAGGCTCCTGCCAAATTGCCCACCATGGGGCAATTCTCTCACCAGCAATGGAGGGTATCTATTTTCCCACAGCTCATCAATAATCAGTTTTTAGAGCTCACCCAATCCATCAGCTAAAATGACTCAGCTCTTTGATTCTGTTTCCTCAAGAGGCTACATCTGAGGAAATCCACCTGGACGGCGGTCTGCTGTTCCCTGATCTCAGGATCTCAGACACTGAGTCTGCACTGCAGTGCTGGGTGCTCTGCTTCTCCACCCACCAAAGAGCCCCTCAAGCCCCCAGAGTCCAGGCTTTGCCTGTCCAGGCCTAAGTGTCTTCCTTTAAATGGATTTTCTAAGAGCATGTAGAACACAAAATTCAGGCCTTGGCATCAAAAGCCCCAGGTTAAAGTGACTCCAGCACTTTCTCAGCTGAGTACTCTTAGTAGGTACTTAGCCTTTCTCATGCTTGGCTTTCCTCAGTGTGCAGAGGTACTGATGAGTATATCATGAGTTTATGTGAAGAGCTCTTACCACAGCAACATTCTCATCCACACAGTGGAATGTTACATAACTATTAAAAATAGGCCAGAAGCAGGTGTGGTGGTGCATACCTATAATTAATCCCAGCACTTGGGAGGCAGAGGCAGGCGGATCTCTGTGAATTCAAGGCCAGCCTGGTCTATATAGTGAGTTCCAGGACAGCTGGGGCTACAGGGAGACCCTGTCTCAAAAAAAAAAAAAAACAAAAACGAAAAACAAAAAACAAAACAGCAACAACAACAAAAAAACAAAAACAAAAAATAAAAAAATAAAAATATGCCAGAAGCAGGCATGGTGGTACACACCTATAATCCCAGTATTGAGGGAGAGGCAGGAGACTCAGGAATTCAAGGTCAGCCAGCCTCTGCTACATAGCAAGTTTGGGGTGCATAACCATGAAATCTTGTCTTAACAAATCAAGAAAAAAAGCCATAGAAAAACATTAACTAGCCAAGTGTGGTGGCTCACACCTATAATCCCAGCACTTAGAAGGTGGAGGCAGGAGGATCATTCCAGGCCAGTTTGGGCTACACAGTGAGTTCTAGGCTAGCCTGGGCTATAGAGTAAGACTATCTTAAAAAAAAAAAAAAAAAAGTGGAATGGGCACTGGAGAGAGGATTCAGAAGTTAAGACCACTGACTGTTGACCTAGGTTTGGTTACCAGTACCTACATGGTAGCTCACAACTGCTGTAACTCCAGTTCTAGGGGATCTGACACCATCTTCTGACCTCAACTGGCAATGCATGCATGGGTGCACTTACATACATGCACGCAAAACACTCATACATGGTTTAATCTGGAGAGTGAGGTTTATTGCTTGTAGCCAAGATGGTTCTGATGACTGTGCAGCAATGGGTTCTATAAATGGCCACCATACCTTCAAAGTCTTCAGATCCAATCCACCAGGCAGCACATTGAGGACAGTTTTCCCACTGGAGACTTCCTGCAAGATCTTCAGCACGCGCACGCACTCTCTTACCCGCTGGTGCACCTGCAACACAGCCGGTCCCAGTGGGAGTTAGAGCACTCCACAATCCCCCAGCGAGAGCCTCTGCCACCCACAGAGCCAAGGCAGAAGGCAGTGGGGATGGGAGTCTGCCCACCACATCTCAGCAGCACTGCAGGCCCCTTGCGGCTCACTCAGCCACTACTTAATGGAAGATGGAGTTGGCCCAGAAGTTCAGGTTCCACCTGCCTCCCCATAGGGTTGTCAGGATAACCAAATGAGGTGATGAATATGAAGCCATTTTGAAAACAAAAGGAATTGTGCATCTTTTGTCTGCAAGCCAGTACTGAGTTCTACCTGTCCATGGACAGCACACATCTGTTGCTTCTGTCCTCCACCCCTTCTCCTGTTAGCTATGCCTTTGAAGGACTGGCCTTGCCCCACCCCTAACAATCTGACAATGTATTTCTGATGGGAACCTTCATTTTGGCTCTTCTCCGCAGGTTAGGAATCCCTCATCACGATTTTTCAAACTTGAGCTTGGTTTAGAGAGAGTAGACTGGGAGCAACTCCCAAAGAGCCTTGTCCTCTGCTGATGAGGCTAAGCGTATGTAAGTTCTGAGATGCCTAGTGTTCATACAGTAAGCCATCTCAAGATGAGCCTCACAGCAGAGACAGGGGTGAGCCCACTCTCGGAGAATAAGTCCTGGTGTCATGTCAGGCTGCTTCCAGGTGCCTTACTCTTCCTTCTGCCGACTTACCTGAGCCCATCAGCTCCCTTTCTACTCTATGATGTAGCAAGCTCAGACCCACTAGGATTAAGCTTTTGAGAAAGATTAGTTAAAAGTCTTGCTTGTGGTTGACTCAAGGGCCATATGTTGAAGGCCTGGTCCCCACAGAGATGCTAAGGGAGGTTGGGCCTTGGGGCTGGAGAAATGGCTCAGTGCTTAAGAGCACTGGCTGCTCTTCCAGAGGACCCAGGTTCAGTTCCCAGCACCTGCATGGTGGCTAACAACCATCTGTAACTCCAGTTCCAGGGGATCCGACGCCCTCTTCTGATATCTGCGGGCACTGCACAACATGGTACACTTACACACATGCAGGCAATACACTCATACACATAAAATAAAAATAATAAATATTAAAAAAAGAGGTGGAACCCTGTGGGAGGTCTCTGAGTCACTGAGGATGTGCCCAAAAAAGACTGTGAGATGACATGATGCCCATCCATCCCTCTCCTGCCACCTTGGACTTTCACCAGAGCCCAAAGCAATGGATACACCTGAGCTTGGACTGGAATGTCCAGAACTGTGGGCTAAGCACACCTTTTCTATTGTCATCTGGTTACCTCAGGCATTTTATTATAGTGACAGAAAGCTGACTAGTACGGTACCTACGGCAGAGGGGACAGGCATTTTGACTCTTCTGCAGTGAGTACTAACCTACCTGGGGATTGCGAACGTGGAATTCCTTCTCCCCTTCCTGGATTCTACGGAAGGGGATCCATTCCTCCTCCAGTGACTCAGTGGGCTGGCTATCTTCTGGGGCCTGCTTACAGAAATACGTGGTCGAAGCTGACTGGTCCCTGAAACACACATGCCATCAGACAGAAAACAGAAGGTAATAGTGAGCTTGCTTCTCCCCTTTACCCATGCCTCCCTTCCAGCCAAGTTACGTGGGCTCTCTACTTGGTAGGGAAGGAGATCTGGGGGCATGCAAAGGAGAACAGAAAAAAACATAGGTTCTAGAGACAGACCCAGGTTTGAGCCCCGAGTCAGCTGTGTGACTCTTGGCAAGCTATTTAAATCTCTGAGCCTTGATATTCACCTCTTCAAAATGGGTATAACACCTATTATTAGCAGGATTAGAAATAATACATTGGCACTGGGGATGTAGTTCAGTGGTACAGTGTTTGTCTGGAATGCTTGGGTCTAATGTGTAGTACCAAAACCAACAAATAAAAACTAAAAATAAAATTATACATTGATAAGTTACTACCCTATATCCCAGCTCAGCACAGGTTCCTCAGGAACCATAGTTCACTGTGACTGTCCTCTCTTACCTGTGCTCCAGCACAGCAACCACAAAGCCACAGGAGGCCAGCTCCATGCAGAAAGCTGAATACAATGCCCTAGAGATTCACAAAAGAACAGAGAGAAGAGATCAAGAGGACCACCAGCTTTCACCCCAGCTCCAGCCCGGCTCTCCCAGTGGCTACCTCAAATGACTGGCCAGGCAGGTGTCATGGGGTGGCCTTCTCCAGGTATTTTCCCCAGATAGCACAGCCTACGTTCCTTCAGGGTGTGTCTGCAGATCAAGCGTCCATCTGGGGTACCTCTTCACCCCTGAGTCAGCTCACACCAACTCCAAATATATTCTGGCTACACTAATGCGTTTGTGTGTATGCACCTGTGTGTAGAGGCCAGAGTTTGGCATCAGGTGCTTCCCCACCCACTCTCCACCTTATTCAGGGTCCCTCACTGAACGTGAACATACAGTTCAGCTAGACTAGCTGGCCAGTGAGCTCCAAGCTTACAGGTGGTGCTGCCACGCCGATTTTACGTGGGTTCTGGGGATCAAACTCGGCTCTCACACTTCCACAGTAAGCGCTTAACCTACTGAGCCATCTTCCCAGCCCTCCGATGCTTTTTTATTACTCTATGTGGGCAGATACGTTGTTGTTTGTTTGTTTGAGGCAGGTTTTACTCTATAGCCTGGACTGTCTTGGAACTCAAGACAATCATCTGCCTGAGTCTTCCAAGTGCTGACGGTGCAGGTGGGAACCATGTCCAGCTTTTATACTATATGTCTTCCAAATCAGCTGATAAGCTCTTCAAGGACAGGGATTCTGGATGTTTCTTTAATATGCACCTCATCTGCAAGTCAGTGTATGGATTTTTTCTTGTCTCACCACCAGCTTTTCAGAAAAAAGTGGGGTCTATGGCAGGTACTGCTGACTGCTTACCTCAAATGCCCATTTTCCCTTCCTCCTTAAGAACAGACTTTGCTTTTCAGAAGAAAACATTGTTGTGGGGTGGAAAGTTAGCTCAGAGGGTGAAGCCATTTGCTACACAAGCTTGACAACCCAAGTTCAATCCCCAGAAACTATGGTAGAAGGAGAGACCTGATGCCTAAAAGTTGTCCTCTGACCTCCACATGTGCACTGTGGTACACATGTGCTGGCACTCACAAACTCACATAACACACACACACACACACACACACACACACACACACACAAGTAAATAGAAGTTTAAAAAGAGGAGCTGGTGTGGTAGTGTGCGCCTTTAATCCCAGTCCTTGGGAGGCAGAGGCAGGTGGATCTCTGCAAGACTGAGGCCACCCTAGTTCACATTGTGACTTCCAGGTGGGCTGTGACTAGGGAGACCCTGTCAAAAAACAACCAATGAAAAGACAGAAAAAAAAAAAAAAAAAGAGCTGGAAAGATGGCTTGGAGATTTTAAGAGCACTCACTGCTCTCACAGAGGACCCAGGTTTGGTCCCCAGCACCCACATTAGGTGGCTCACAACTACCTGTAACTCCAGTTCCAGGGAGTCCAACACTCTCTTCTTGCCTCCATGGGCATCTACATACATGGTGCATCTACATACATTCAGATACACACACATACACAGAAAATAAATAAAATATTAAAAGCAAAATTAAAAAAGACAACAGTCATTTCATCAGAGTATTGTATTTCCAAGCCACCCTCGAAGCCATGTTAGTCTGTGGCTCTATCTATCTATCTATCTATCTATCTATCTATCTATCTATCTATCTATCTATCTATCATCTAGCTATCATCTAGCTATCTATCTATCTATCATCTATCTATCTATCTATCTATCTATCTATCTATCTCATCTATCTATCTATCTATCTATCTATCTATCTATCTATCTATCTATCTATCATCTATCATACTGGGAATTGAACCTAGAGCCTTATGTATGTGACAGATCATTTTATTTGTCTCTAATTTATTTATTTTTATTTTATAAGTATGACTATTTTTCTTGTATGTATGTAAGTGCCAATGTGTCATGCAATGACTGGGAAGGTCAGAAGAGGTCAGATCCCCTGGAACTGGAGTTACAGATGGTTATTAGCTGCCATGTTGGTGCTGGGAACAAAACCTGGGTCCTCTGCAAGAGAAGCCAGTGCTCTTAACTGCTGAGCCATCTCTCCAGCTCCTAAATAATTTTTTTAAATCACACAAGGAGTAGTGAGATGGCTTAGTGGATAAAGGTGCTTGACTCACAACACTGGTAACCTGACGTTGATCCCCAAAACCCATATAAAAGGTGGAAGGAGAGGACCATCTCCACAAAATTGTCCACTGACCTCCACACATGCACCTGCATGCACACATAACAATAATAATTTGAATTATTTGTTTATTTTGGTCTTTTTGAGACAAGGTCTCCCTGTAACCCCAGCTGGACTAGAACTCACTATGTAGACCAGGCTGGCCTTGAACTCATGGAGACCCACCTGCCTCTGCCTCTTGAATGTTGGCTAATAAACTAATTTTAAAATACACACATACACACACACACACACACACAGAGGCTGGAAAGATGGTTCAGTGGGTACAAGCACTTGCTGCTCTTGAAGAGGTCCCAAGTTCAGTTCCCAGCACCCACTGCAGCCTGTAACTCCAGCTTCAGGGGATCTAATACCATCTTCTGGCCTCCATGGGCATCCTCGTGCACATGCACATATACACACATGCACATATACATGCACATAAATAAACAATAAAATGAGTCTTAAAGAAGAAAAAGACAGGTGTACCTTGATAGCAGAACACTTGCCTAGCATGCACATGGCCCTGGGTTCAATCCCAAACACTGCCAAGAAATGAAGAGGTTTTCAGCCAGTTGGGGTAGAACACAACCATCATCCCAGCACTCAGGAGGCAGAGACAGACTATCAAGAGTTCAAGTTTGCTGGGTGTGGTGGCACACGCCTTTAATCCCAGCACTTGGGAGGCAGAGGCAGGGGATCTTTGTGAGTTCGAGGCCAGCCTGGTCTACATAGTGAGTTCCAGAACAGCTGGGGCTACAAGGAGACCCTGTCTCAAAAAGACAAAAAAAAAACAAGCAAACAAAGAGTTCAAGGTTATTCTCATTTACAGTTACACAGTGAGTGCAAGGCCAGCCTGGGCTACATGAGTCCCTATCTCAAAAGTCAGGCATGCTTCAAAGAGTTCAAGGTTATTCTCATTTACAGTTACACAGTGAGTACAAGGCCAGCCTGGGCTACATGAGTCCCTATCTCAAAAGTCAGGCATGCTTGGCCCACACCTGTCATCCTGGCACTTAAATATGCATTGCAGTTATGTTAAGTACTGAGAAGTACAGCGTGTACTGGAAAACTTAGCTTCAAATATATAAGGATTGGGTTGGGCATCCCTCAGAAAGGGACATGCAGCAGCGCATGGTGGTGCATGTCTTGAATCCCAGCAGAGGCAAACAGATCTCTGTAAGTTTGAGGCCAACCTGGTTTACTTAGCAAGCTCCAGGCCAGCCAGGGCTACATAGTGAGACTCTGCCTCAAAAAAAGACAGAAAGGAGCACGCCGACCAGGTGTGGCAATACACACCTATAATCCCAGTACTGGGAGGCTAAAAAGAACAGAATCAAGTCAAAAAGCTATTGAAATACTTCAGTTAGAAGAACAGTCATCCATCCAACAAATATTTATTGGGTATCTATAATCTTCTAGCTATACCTGAGGCGCTGGAATGGCAGGATCGTATTTGATTATGTTTAGTTTTAAGACAGGGTATCACTGCGGAGCCTACACTGGCCCTGAAATCATGATCTCTCAGCTTCAGCCTTCCAAATGCTGGAATTCATTCAGTCCATTTTAGACAGGTCTCCAAGGCTAGTGTGAACAACAGTTTGGGGATGGGGGCTTCTGATATGTGCAACACCCTGGACATAAACCAGGCATATATATACTCATGGATGAATGGACAGAGAAATCATTAACAAAGTTAAGTAGGAACACACATACTACAGTTATTAAGCTATATAACACACCATGGTGTAGACAGCAGATATCATGGAAAGAATCCTGAATAGACTCTGAATTATGAAGTTGAGGCCAGTTACCCGAAGTCTGGTGAAAGGGATTATAGGGTTTATCATCACCACATCCCTCCATGTGTTTAAAGGGAGGGAACTGACACAGGTGTCCACCTAGTAAGAACCGATCTGAGACCTCACAAACCACCATGTGGGAACCACATCCTCATTCGACAGATGTTGAAATCTAGGCTGAGAGAGTTCTATAACTTTCCCCAGCTCACACAGGACACAAGTACCGTGGGTGGGGTTTACGGGTTAGACTGCTAGCTCTGTCAACTCAGGCTATCATATCCCCCAGACCCACAACACAAGCAGAGCCCCTCAACACAGGGGAGCAAACTGTGACTCCCAAGCTCTTCCTAATCCTTCTGGCTGTTAATATAGGGAGAAAGAAAAGTGCACATTTACATAACTGCTGAAACAGGAGACGTGAAGGCTGCCAAGGATGAAGGCACTTGGGAAAGGCCTTCTAGAGACAAGCTTCCCATGCTGTAGGGCACAGCACAACATGGGGTCCTGTAAGTGTGGGGGTCATAAAAGACCTAGCTATAGTAAAAGCTTTCTGAATGTTCAAGGACCAAAAATTATTTGAAAAGCAAATGTGCAATGAATCCATGGGGTTCCCGGCAGCGCTGGCCTGCGCCGCGTCCTGAAACTTCCCTGCAGCCTTGGTTTCGTACACACTGAGCAATGTGCACGCTGTCTGGCCATACAGCGCCATTAAGTGCTAACCCAAACATCTGGACTCAGATGTGAGACTACTGTATGTCAAGAGCTGTGGTGTTTCTACTGTGCATACAAGGTTTTCTGCTTCTACAGAAACATTATGGCTTAATTATGGAAAACAAAAACTTTTAGTATTTTCCTACCATTCCTCAAGATAGGAGTATTGGAGCTGGAGAGATGGCTCAGCAGTTAAGAGCACTGGCTGCTCTTGCAGATCCAGAGTTCAATTCCCAGCACCCACATGGCAACTAACAACAATCCGTAATGGGATTCGATGCCTTCTTCTAACCTCCACATGCATTGCATAACATGGGTGCACTTATATACATGCAGGCAATATATTCATACACATAAAAAATATTTTTAAAAAAGATATGAGTATCAAGTTAGTGTATCTTTGGATTGTATTGTGTTAGAATCTTGGATATTAAAGACTACTGTTTGAGTTGCTAGCTTAAGTTTCATAAAAAAGCATTAAATGGATCTTGGCTTGGGATTAAGGCAGAATTTTCAACAATTTCTGAAACAGCCCTAAACATACTGCCATTTTATATTGTGTATTTATGTGAAACAATGTTCTCAGCCTTGATGATCACAAAACCAAAACATCAATCAATTGTGGAAAATGTCAATGATACTCTGGGTCCTACAGTATCAAATATTTGGCCAAGATTTAATTATTTATGCAAAAATAAATAAGCACATTCATCTTATTAGTATAATCATGCGTAGTGGCACACACCTTTAATCCCAGCACCCAGGAGATAGAGGCAGAGGCAAGAGATCTCTGTGAACTCAAGGCCAGTCTGGTCTACAAAGTGAGTTCTAGACCGGCTGGGGCTACAGGGAGACCCTGTCTCAAAAAGACCAAATAAATAAATAAAATAAAATTCTTTATGATTTATTATCAGCAAATGTTTGCTTTGTATGCCTATTTTACAGACCTACATACCTGGGTCTATAAAAAGTTTTTCAGGCAGAAAGTACTCATAAGAGGAAAACCCTCCGGAAGCCCTGGTCTAGAGAAGGTCGGCCCAACGCTATGACAGGGGCAGATGGAGCAAACCAGCAGACACATGGAAACATCTGTTATTCTGCTCTTCTAGAGGCTGTAGCCCATAAGATAGAGTGGCTGTCACTACACAAAGGACATGGTCAAGAGACAGAGCTCTTACCTGAAGCCTCCCAGGCCATGGGACAAGATGATCAAGGGGTATCCAGATTCCTTTGTCTTAAAGGGGCCATTCCAGCTAACAGGCAGGCGACAAGATCCTGGTGGAGACACAGGCTTTAGAATCTCTGGCTGCCTGGGAGCTGTAATCCCAAGGGCAGCCTGAGCAGAGGTGGGGGAGGGGAGATTGGCATCTGTGGTCCGTCCTGTCCTCTCCCTCTTGCAGGACCACCAGTCTCCCTGCCCAGCCCAGGGCCATCACCACCTATGCTCTCTCCTTTCTTCCCTAAGGAGAATTAAAAATCTAAAGAGGCAATCCTGAAGAAATCCAGGCAGATCCCTGAGACGCCAAGGTCACAGGGAGCTCATGGGGTGGGCCTTGGGCAGATGTGCAGGATTCCTTGCAGAACTGGGGAGGACAGACAGACAAGAGGAAGTGCTGCAGGAGAATGAATGCCCCTGAGAGCTAAGAACGGCTGATCTAGCAGCAGAGGCTGGGGCTCAGTGGCAGAGCATTCACACAGCATGTGTGAAGCCCTGGGTTTGATCCCCAGTACTGAGGGGAAAACAGGTATAATCTACACAGTAGCTGCACAGAGTAGGGATAAATACATGCTGGAATTGGGAGTCAAAGCCAGCACTCACATGCCCATCGGATGTCCCAAACACTGCACTAGAGGCTTTACACACCCCACACCACAGACCTACAAAAGCTCGTAGACAAGTGATTTTCCCAAGTCCCACTGCTAGTAAATTATTGAGTTTGGATTAGAATCCAGGAGAGTATATTTTGATGACCCAAACTCTCATATGATTCTCTCCCAACTCTCCAACCACCTACCTACCCCAAGACTGGACTGTGCACTCTAAAAAGTACTGGGTCTGCCTGGGTTTCTCCTAAGGACATAACCAAGTATCTGGGAAGGCATTCAGGGCCCTGTCAGCCTTACCCACACCCAGGTTGAACAGCAACCCCACCCAGCGCTTGTTATATTGCAGGTAGTCAGCCAGGCCCTCGTAGTACTCATAGCGAGGAATCCACAGGGGATGCTCTGAGGTCTCCTCCTCCACTCGGCAGGGGTAGAAGAGTCTAAAGAAGGTCCCCTGAAGGAAAGAAGGCTTCCTCAATATGCCTGAATTTTACATTCAGAAAATCCAGAAACAATTTTAATGTTAGCATACAGAAGGCTTATGTTCTTTCAAATATCCAATTGTACACTCGAGAGGCAGAAGCAGGTGGATCTCTGTGAGACTGAGGCCAGTGTGGTCTCCATAGTGTGTTCCAGGTCACTTGGGGCTACAGGGAGACCCTCTCTCAAAAAGACAAAAAGACAAAAAAAAAAATTCAAGCCGGGCGTGGTGGTGCATGTGTTTAATCCCAGCACTGGTGAGGCAGAGGCAGGTGGATCATTGTGAGTTCAAGGCCAGCCTGATCTACATAGTGAGTTCAGGTCAGCTGGGAGGATGTGGGTGTTATCTCAGAAGTAAAGTGGTTGCCTAGCATTTGTGAAGCATGGAGGTTGAATGAGTGCTTGGACACTGAAAGATTTAAATCTGGCCCTGGCCCCAGGTTTAGTGGAAGGGGGACTTGATTTACCCTTATGCTGAACAAAGTGGTATCAGTAGGTCACTGAGGCCACTCCTCCAGGCTGGCTCTCAGGAAGCAACAGCATACTTATTTCACAAGGGAACAGGACAAGGGTTACCAGAAAGTGGGTGCCCCTTACAGAAGAGCTGAGTTCAACCACCAGGAAAGAAAGACCCGAATGAAAATATGCTGGGCCATGTAATCCCAGCACTTGGGAGGTGGGGAAAGGAGGATCAGGAGCTTAAGGTCATCCTGGGCTACATATCAAGTTGGAGACCAGCCTGGGCTACATAAGAACCTATCAAAAGAAAGAAAGAGAGGGAGGGAGGTAGAAGGGAAGAATAAAAAAAGAAAAACCTAGAAACTGGAAGGAGGCTCAGAAGGAAGAAGGTAGGCCGAGGAGACCATCCCCCCACCCATGTTGGAGTCTCAGGCTGTGGCACATGTGGCCTTCCTCCCATCCTCCTGAATCAGGATGAGACTGAAAACCTTTCTCAGGATCCGATATCTGTACTCAAGATAGGCAGTGAGGTCTATGAACTGCCTCCAAGCCCTCTGAAGAGAATTCATTCTCTCTCTCTCAATTGGGAAGGTTAGTATTTGGAAAGACGATTTCCTTCAGCGTAAGTAGACAGACCTAGGGGCTGAAAACCAAAGCCAGCCCACCTCTAACGGCTCCCCCCAACCCCAGACATGCACACTTAGACCTGCAGTGGTGAAGACCCAGTATGGGCAGAAGCCATGGACCGGTGCAGGGGTGGAGCTCAGGATACCTACCTGGAGACTCTGGCCCTCCATCACATCTGTGCAGCCTACATGGTGGGGTCCTGAGATGGGTGGAAAGCACATGGATGGGCCAGTCCCCATCGCATCACCAGAGGAATCAAAGCCTGGGTGGTAATGAACTTGATGGCTGGAGGGTGAAACAGAACAGCCTCATGCTGGTTTCTTCCTAGTTTCTTGTTGCTCATATGGGTCATGTGTTACCCGTCCACTTCCGCCCATCTTTATCACCCCATCCTTCCTGTCAGCCACTCATTAAATCATATGTACCATGTACTTTTGCTACTTTGCCAACATTTAGAGGTTGCGTTTTTTGCTGTTGTGGTGGTGGCGGTGGGATGGAAGAACTTGCACATGTTGGGCAAGTTCTCTATCACTTAGCTACTTTATCCTTCCTATGGACTGTATTCCTTTTTTTTTTTTTCCTTCTGTGGGGGGCGGGGTAAGGAGATGGTGATGATGGAAAAAGCTCTCAGACTGCGCAAAATCTGTAAGTACAGGGTTCGGGGATGTGGCTCAGTTGGTAGAATGCCTACTTAGCATTCAAGAAGCCCTGGGTTTGATCCCCATATTATGATACAGGGTGTGGTAGAGCGCACCTAGCCCTTGGGAGGCAGAGGCAGGAGGATTAGGATTTCAAGAGCACCCTCACCTACAGAGTGAATTCAAGGGTAGCCTGGGATGTAAGACCCTGCCTCAAGAGTCACACAGAGGGATGCAGCTGCAGATCACAGCCCAGACCTTGCCATTGTCAGGCTAATAACACCCACTGAGAGCTTGTGTTTCCTCTGCTAGTGCTGTGCTAAGCCCCTTACACACATTACCTTGTTGAACTCTCTCAACAACTCTCTAAGAACAATTTTTTTTTGAGACATGGTCTCCCTGTAGCCCCCCCCCCCCCCCCCCCCCCCCCCCGCCGAGCTGTCCGGGAACTCACTATGTAGACCAGGCTGGCCTTGAACTCACAGAGATCTGCCTGCCTCTGCCTCCCTAGTGCTGGGATTAAAGGTGTGCACCACCACGCCCGGCCTATTAAGAACAATTTTACAGATGAAGAAACTGAGGCAAAAAGCTACCCTGGCTAATGGGTGGGAAACCCAGGTCTGTCTGGTACATAACCCACTTGGCCTAGACTTTCTTTATCTCAGTGAGTAAATTCCCTTTCTTGTTTAACCAACAGAATGTAGCTGTCTAGTCCCTGTAACCACAATCATCTGTAAGGGAAGAGTCCTGGGTCCACATGTTCAATTATTCTGCTTCCTCTACGAGGCCCTGGGAGGGATGAGAGTGCAAGTGAGAGCAGGTCTGGGCAAGTAGAGACTTAGAGATCATCCCTGCCAGTCCTCCCCGCAAGGCCCCTCTCCCAGCCCCAGTGTATACATGTGCTTTACCAAAGAAGCAACCAAGGTTAACGGTCCTGAGAGAGTCAGCGAGCTGCTCATGGCCACAAGTACAGGTATTGCACACAGACCTCCTGACTGCCAATCATCTGGTCCAGTGGAAAACCTCAGAGTCGTTCTATTTAATGCTTGGAGATAATGAATGATTTTCTTTCTATTATAGACTTCTTCCTTTTGTTTTCCAAAGTTTTAAGATACCTCCTATTATAGAAAAAGAGGGAGAGCCCCTGTTGCAGGCAGTGGACTGTTCAGTTGGAGTGAGGAGGAGGAGCATGGCTTAGTCACAACCTCTGACTTTTTGCTTGGTTGCTGAGGGCGCATTCAGGAAATCCAAGGCTGCAGCTACAAGACACATCTGGGTCATGTGACAGTGAAGCAGCTGCAAATTCTGTCACAGAGATGAAATACCAAAATACAGGGGCTGGAAAGGTGGCTCAGCAGTTAAGAGCACTGGCTGCTCTTGCAGAAGATGCAGGTTTGATTCCCAGCACCCACAAGGTGGCTAACTACTGTCCGTAGCTACAGTTCCAGGGGATCTGACGCCCTCTTCTGAACTCCATGGGCACTGCACATCGCAGGTACACTCACATATATTCAGGCAACACACTTATACACATAAAATAAAACTAAGGGGCTGGAGAAATGGCTCAGTGGTTAAGAGCACTGGCTACTCTTGCAGAGGACCCAGGTTCAGTTCCCAGTACCCACATAGCGGCTAACAACCATCCATAACTCCAGTTCCAGGGGAATCCAATGCCTTCTGACCTCTGCAGGCACTGCACGACATGAGTGCACTTACATACATGAGACAATATACTCATACACATAAAATAAAAATAAAATTAAAAAAGTTTTAAAAACACCAACATACCACTGGAGCTCTGAAGGGGGTGAACCAACCCCCCTCTGCCCCGCACCACAAGCTTGAGAGCAGAAAGCAGAAGATAGGAAAGGCTGACTTTCAGCCCATGTGAAAATGGGCAGTGATGGACAGAGGGAGAAGCAGACGTGATGGGGCACAATCCCTAGAGTGCAAGGTGGGTTTGAATCTGCTCTAGAAATAAGGTGTGACTACAAGAGAAATTAAGTCTGAAAAATCCATTCTGTGTGTGTGTCCACATTTGTGTGTGTTTGTGTGCATACATGGCACACATGTGGACATCAGATAACAACCTTGAGTATCAATCCTCAAACACCTTCCACAGGGTCTCTTACTAGCCTGGAACTTTGCTAAGTGGGCCAGCTACATGAGCTTCAGGGGATCTGTCTCTGCCTCTCATTTTGCTGTCATTGAGATTACAACATGCCATCGTGTCAGGCTTTTTAAAAAATTATTTGTTTACTGAGTGTGTGTAGGTGTATGGTCAGAGGGCAGCTTGTGGAGCCAGTTCTCTCCTTTCACCATGTGGGTCTTGGGGATTCAACTCAGGTCATCGGGTTTAACGCCTCTATCTGCTGAGCCCTCTCACTACCAGTCCTGCTTTTTTAAAACTTTTAATGTGGGCTCTAAGGATCCAAACTCAGGTCCTCACACCTGTGAGACAAGCACTTCACCAACTGAGCCATCCCCTCAGCCCAACGAAAGACCCAAGCCTGAGGCCCAGTTCCTCCGTCAGCTAGCTTCAGCAAGTTATCTCATCTTTCTAAGCCTGATTCCCTTCTGCATGACGGGAATTCTGTCAGACTCGTAGGGTTGCTATGGAGACAGAGTGAAATGATGCCTTTAAAGCACCTTGTGTAGGACCTGGCTTTTAGCAAGGATCTTAGAAATATTTGCCAATTGTAAGAAAAGTAGAAACAGAAGAATTTGGCAACGGCACAGATTTGGAGATCTAAAGGGAAGGAAGAGGTGAAGGCGAGCCAGGCTGAGGACGACAGCAGCTCCCTGTGGGAAGGGATGTTTGTCTCACTCCTCAGAGATCAGCCCTTGACACAGTCATCAGGAAAGTGTACTTGAACGGAGCTACATGAAGGTGAGGTGGGGTGGGGTGGGCCCAGGACTCTGGCAAGATTCTGAGAGGGTCCATCAGCTAAATTCTGCCTGGAAATAAAAATCTAAAGATCATTGGCCAGAGTGAGGCTAACGTGAAAAAGTTTGCATGACCTAAGCTCGGACTGAGTGGTGCTCAAGTAAGCGAGGAGAACAAATTCAATCTCACTTGCAAATATTACCAAGAAGACATCCAGACTTATGTCTAATGAATGCCCTAGAATTTTCCACGGTAGTCAGTCCAGGTGTCCTCCTCGACTCACTTTGGCTCAATAATTCATGGTAGTGCCTGTCCAGGAGCCTCTCCATCATCAAGGCCCAGTGAGACCATCGAGTCCTCTGGGACATGGCCCCACACCCCAGCCCTCCCTTCTTTCTGCTTTGAGCACTGGCCCTATCCCACACCTGCAATCCACTGAGCCTTTTGCATGCTAGGCAAGCTCTTTACCATGAGGCCACACTCCCAACTTCCAATTAATTATTTTTAAGTCCCATGTGTTTTTTACCAGCAGGATTTGAGAAGCTGTGGGAGAAGCTCTTTTCTTTTATTTGAGCATGCATGCATACATGCAACAAATACTGAGTGTGCCCTGCATTCTAGTCCTGTACCATAATTTTGTTGGGTGAATCTCCATGGCCACGCCAGTCACTAGGATTAATGTAGTGCCCTGCATGCTGCTAGTCAAAATAATTACTTTATCTGGGCTGGCAAGATGGCTCAGTGGGTAGAGATGCTTACCACCAGGTCTGACAGTCCGAGTTTGATCCCCAGATTCTATATGGTAGAAGGAGAGAACCAACTCTGGCAAGTTGTCCTCTGACCTCCACTCATGCACCACAGGTGTGCACACTGAATAAGTGTGAAAACACATGCCTTCCACAGATAGCAGGAATAGACTAAATGTATCATCTTTCAGCTTTGATTTAACATCTCTCAGTCTTTCTTTGTGTTACTTGTCTGTTTTGTTTTGGAGACAAGAGTCTCTCCATGTGGCCCAATCAGGCTTCAAATTCTTAATCCTCCTTTGTCTACCTCCTAAGTGCCAGGATTACAGGCATGTACTACCACACCCAGTTCAACTAGCTTTTCATCTGTCATGCTTGGACTGGAAAGATGGTTCAGTAGTTAAGAGCACTTGCTGCTCTTACAGAGGACACGGGTTTGGTTCCCAGCACCCACATAAGATGGCTCACAACTGTCTATAACTCCAACTCCAAGGGATCCAACACTCTCTCCTGGCCTCCGAGAGCACTGCATGCATGTGGTGCACATATATACATGCAGGCAAACACCCATAGACATACTATAAATAAATCTTTATCTGCCATTCTTATCAAAAAAAAAAAAAGGCTATTGCAGCCTGGTGTAGTGGTACATGCATTTAATCCCAACGCTTGGGAGGCAGAGGCATGTGGATCTCTGTGAGTTCAAGGCCAGCCTGGTCTACATACTAAGTTCCAGGCCAGTTGCACTACATGGAGACCCTGTCTTAAAAAGACAAAAAAGCCGGGTGTGGTGGGGCATACCTTTAATCCCAGCACTTGGGAGGCAGAGGCAGGCGGATCTCTGTGAGTTTGAGGCCAGCCTGGTCTACATAGCGAGTTCTAAGCTACAGGGAGACCCTGTCTCAAAAAGACCAAAAAAATTAAATAAATAAATAAATAAATAAATAAATAAATAAATAAATAAGGCTATTGCAACTGTAATTTGCTGGGCAAATGCCTTTAATTCCAGCACTCAGGAGACCGAGACAAGTAGATCTCTGTGAGATTAAGGTCAGCCTGATCTATGTAGTAAGTTCCAGGCCAGCTGGGCCTACAGAGAGACCCTGTCTCAAAAACTAAAATAAGGCTATATGCTATAGTAAGGGGGGAAAAAGGCTTTGGTGACTTTGAGTTCCCCCTCTACTGCTTATTAGCTGGCTATAAGTTTGGGTTTTGTTTTGTTTTTTAATGTGTGTGTATATGTGTGATGAGTGCATGTATGTGTACATGCCATGGCATGCTTGTAGATGTCAGAAGACAATTCAAGGGAACTCGTTCTCCTCTTCCACCATGTAGGTTCCAGAAACTGAACTCAGGCTGTCAGGCTTGGCAGCAAGCACCTTTACCCACTCAGCCATCTTCCCAGCCCCAGCTGTGAGATCTTGAACAAGTGCCTTGACCATTAAACCTCGGATAATCTACATCCACTCAAGAAGTTGAAGTGTGTTTATAAAGCACCTGACAATATAGAGAGCACTATAACCACATAAGGCAGCAATAACCAATTATTCTACATGACCTCTCTGAGCCTAAGTGTCTCATATGTAAAACAGGGACAGTTCATAAGTGAAGCTTAAAGGAGAAAATTGATACTGCCTAAGGCCTGATACATTTTAAGTGCTCACAAAATGTCAGGAACTAATTAATTATGCTATGGCTCTCTTTCAACATACTCAGCAGCGTACTCATTTTTCCCCTGCAATAAATCCTTTGGCAAAGTGGATTTTTTCCCTCCCAGGCACTTCAGGCCTGAGACACACCTACCAAAGCCAGAGTCCACTCAACAGACCCAGAAAAGGCCTAGGAGAATGGATATGGCTTATATTGCAGCTGTCCTGCTGGAACCCTGTTTTCAGTAAGCAGCCACTGCCCCTCTGCCAGCTGCGTGGACTTTTCATCTCTTAGGCCAGAGTCCTCTCTAGGGCTTCCTTCCAGACAAAGCTCCCTGGAGGCCAAGAGCTCAAGGGGCCTATCTGATCTTTTATGTCCAGAGGAAGTGAAGAAATAACTTGGTGTCAGATGAAGACATCAAGAGCTCAAGGGACAGGATTGAGCAACGGGGCCTGTAGAGCTAGAAAAACGGCCCTGATGAGAATGTTCTAGGGCGTCAATAAATGACAAAGAGAACTGTTGCTTGTTGGAGGCCTTAGGGTTCATAAAACACTTTTGTATTTGCAAAACTCATAATCACCTCCATTTCACAGAAGAAACTGAGTCCCTGAGAGCTTGTACGATTTGCCCGAGGTCACAGAGCAAAGCTGAGTTCATAGACTGCACTCCAAGTTCGCAGCCTGGGGAAGAATCGGCAGTGTTTTTCCACCAGCATGGAAAAACAGGACAGTGGAAAGTGGAGCACAGCATAGTGGACACAGAGCAGCCGGGTTCCCAGGGACCTGAGGCTGGGGGAGGGACAAGGTGGGAATCCAGGTGCGGGAGTGACCGTCCGCGATGAGCGTGGGAGGGGCTGAGGTGTGGGTGCACTTGGCTGAATAGGAAACAGAGACGGAGATAGAAGATCCACGTGCGGATTCTTGGGAGAGACAAGAAGACCCCCCCAAATAGACTGGAACAGGAAAGTCCTCGGACAGCTCGGCTGAGAACCGGAGCGTTCTCCAATCACACTTACCCAGTCAAGGTGATCCCTCAAGAGCAACCTCAGACAGGCCACTAGACGGAAACCAGAAACCGCCCCAGAGCCCGTGGCCCTCTGGGAGTTGTAGTTTTCTTCATTCAACATGTGCGCATAAACCCATTTTCCGCCTCTAGGTGATGAACTATAAGTCCCGAGATGCAACGCGAGAGATTGTGCCTTGCAGCCTAAGACTACAATTCCCACAGTTCCTCTCGACCACTGGGTGGCTGGAAGCTGGCCAAGGGCTGGGATGCGGGGAGATTCCTCCCCCTGGTGGTGTGAGTGCAAGCAGCCGAGGGACAAGTCTGGAGCGGAGGGTTACTGGATAGTACCAGAGAGTAATCCTCCGCCTCACTGGTCCTCACATAGGTAGTTCCCGGGCCCGCCTGGAAATGGACCGGGCGTCACTTTGTTTTCAGGGAGGTGGGAAGGAGGTCGGAGGTTATTTTCTGTTCCTGTATACGTTGCTTCCTATGAGACTATGAGACTGATCCGTTATAGTAAAGCACTTTATCCACCTTGGATTTTCTATTGTTCTCAGGAGACTGAGAACAGGGAGGAACCTGAGAGATCTTGGGGGGCCACATCTCAACCCTCCTCCCTCTGATCACCTCCACTTTAAAGGCCTGTGCTGGATTTTGTAGACACATTGGTGAACAGGATATTGTCCTTAGTGTCAGCAGAATTCAGTCTAGCAGAATTCAAACAAAGGAAAAACTTTAGCAGTAACAAGGGCTCTGGTGGGAGAATCCAGCTAGTGTGAGGACCTTGGAAAGGAACATCTGCCCAAGTTTAGGGGAAATGGAGCTGTTTTTCAAGACTTCTTAAAGGGTTGGGCATGGTGGCACATGCCTTTAAGTCTGGCACTCTGGAAGCAGAGGCAGGTGGATCTCTGTGAGTCTGAGGCCAGCCTGGTCTACATAGTGAGTTCAGGGCTAAATAGTGAGGCCCTATCTCAAACTAAATTTAAAAAAAAATACACATGAGGCTCTGTGCTCAGTGCTGGATATAAAGTAACAAATAAGAGACCAATTCCCTGCCGGCTTGCTGCTTTCATTCCAATGAGAAGGGGATGTTCTAGTTACTTCTATTGCTATGATAAAAACACTGACCAAAACCAATTTGGGGAGAAAAGGGTTTATCTTACATCTCCCCAGTCACAGTTCATCACTGAGGGAAGTCAAGGCAGGAACTCAGGGCAGAAACCTGGAGGCAGGAGCTGAAGCACAGACCATGAAGGACCACTACTTACTAGCTTGCTACCCTGACCTGTGATCAGCCTGCTTTCTTATACAATAGAGGACTGCCTGTGCAGTGGTGGCACTGTCCACAGTGGTCTGGGGCCTCCCACATAACTCAATAATCAAGAAAATGCCCCATGGGGGCTGGAGAGATGGCTCAGCAGTTAAGAGCATTGACTGCTCTTGCAGAGGACCCGGGTTTGATTCCCAGTACGCACCCACGTGGTGGCTATGAACCATCCTTAACTCCAGTTCCAGGGGTATCCAAAGCTCTCTTCTGACCTCCGAGGCATTGCACGACAGGGGTGCACTCACATACATGCAGGCAATACACTCATACACATAAAATGCAAATAATATTTTTAAAAAAGAAAGAAAATGCCCCATAGACATGGCCACAGGCTAATCCAATGGAGACAATTCCCCAAGTGAGGTTCCCTCTACCCAGGTGTGTCAAATTGACTTCAAAGCTATCCAGCACAGGGAAGAAAGAAAATAACCAAGATAATTACATGCTGGGTTAAATTCCATAGGAAATAGCATTCTGTGGTGGAGACTGAGCTGCTCTCAGTAGGATGGTATTGTACAATACTATCCTCCAAGCCAAACTGCTGCCATCTTCATTAGTTCAGCTGTGCCTGTCGGCCATTAGTTCAGCTGTGCCTGTTGGCAGGCGTAGCCAGATGCTCTTCCCAACCAGATGTGTGCAATTCTGCCCTAATTGCATGTGGCCTCCTTATGGCCTCTGGGTCTTGGGAGAGGCTACAGTATATAGACTGGGGAAGATTAGGCTAGGAGGTTCCATCTAAGCCGCTGTGGGAAAGCCATCATCCATGTGGGATGCACACCTTCCAGGATGACTGCTTTCATCCAGGCTCCTGCCCCTAACCCCTCACATGTTCTGATTCCTCAGGGTGAACTTTAGTGGAATTAACTTTGGTGTGTTATTGGGACCTTATGAGGAAGGAGTAGAGATTGCCTAGTCCCTTCCCCCAGGGAGAAAATTCTCACACCTGATGGTCAAGGAAGGGATCAGGATTTGAACTGAGTCCAGCCATGCCTACCACTCAGTGATTATTTTCCATGTGTCATGTATGCCATTAGGTACTTTTAAGGGCTTTTTCTCATTTAATACTCCAGTGGAGTGTGTCTTTCCATTTTCAGATGAGAAAACAGGCTTGGAGAGCTAACAGCAGACTGTCTACACCTGCCTCTTGCCCTTCATCCCTCCCCTGGGTTCCACTTGCCAGTGTGACCATTTCCAGCTGGCTGAGAGTCCCTCCACTCAGGGTCTGGCTTCCCTCCAGTGGCTTCTTAGTCTGAGGACTTTCTTGCTTATTTTTGAACCAGGGAAATCTGGGATGTTATGTAGCCTAAGGAGAACTTCCAGCTATAAAGGAAGTTGAGTCATCCATGTCCCTTCTTGTGTCCAATAAGGTGGTTGTGAGGCGCAGTTCCCACTGTCAGAGACTTCCCAGCAGAACCAAACACGGCAAGTCCAAGGCTAGGCGCTGAGACCCTCCTTCCCTGCCCTACTTTCTCCCGCCTCACTTCTGTTGGAAAATGCTTATACAGTCCCAGCACTTAAGCTCTATTTTTAAATTTTTATTTATTATTTTTATTTTATGTATATGAGTGTATTGTCTGCATGTAAGTGAGTACACCTGTGTCATGCATTGCCTAGGAGGTCAGAAGAGGGCATCGGATTCTCCTGGAACTGGAAATTACGGACAGTTCATAGCCACCTTGTGGGTGCTGGGAATTGAACCCGGGTCCTCTGCAAGAGCAGTCAGTACTCTTAACCACTGAGCCGTGTCTCCAGCCCCTTAAGCTCTGTTTTTGGAAACTCAAGCTAAAAAAGAATTGAAATGACTTGTCCAAAGACACCTAACTAAGCAGCAGGACTGGAATTTGAATCCAGGCCCACATGGACCACATTCCTACAGTGATGACAGCTATACCATATGTCAGCCAGTCTGAAGTTGCAGGCTAGGCCTGGGCCTGCTTCAGGCTCTTCACATCCTGACCAAAGCTAATCCCTCTGGTTTCCCCTGCTCATCTGGCCATGTCTCGCTCTAGGCTCAGCAGACTCCTTAGAGGACATTCTGTCCTCGAATCTTCCCCATCACCCCTCCATGTCCTTGCATGTTCTTTCCAGTTTGCAAAAAGATGTGTCCACCGTTTAGTCAAGTTGTCCTCACTGTGATGAAATAGCTGACATAAACAGCTTGAAAGGAAGATTTGTTTTGACTTACAGTCTCAAAAGGAGTCACTTGGCTCCATTACTTCTGAGCCTGTGTGGTGAGGCAGAACATCACGGAGGTAAAACGTGGTAGAGCGAAGTGGAAAGGGGGCAGAAAGGGAGACAGGAAGGGCCGAGATGTGCTCTCCTGAGGCATACCCCCAGTGACCTACTTCCTCCAACCAAACCCCACCTCCCATTCAGCATGAACTCATCAATGGATTAACCTGTCAGTGAAATCAGCACCTTCATGAGCAAGTCACAGCAGCCTTTTGTTGTTGTTGTCAGGGGAGGCATTTCATATCTAAATCATAACACCCATCTTCACTCCATCCCTGCCAACTTCTCCCTGATGAATTCAAGGGCCGTGTCCAAGCCTGGGAAGGAACATGGCTATGCCAGTGCTCAGTGTTCATCATTTCATCCAATTAGCACAAGGGTCACTCAGACCATCCCGTTTGCAGGTAGGAAAAGGAAGCAGAATCGAGGCCAGATGGCTTGATTGGTCCTCTCCTTCTACCATGTGGGTCCTGGGGATGGAAATCGACTTGCCAGGCTTGGTGGCAGGTACTTTAAGGTCTTCTGGTTAATGATGAGCAGGGCCAGGATTAGAACTTCCATCCACAAAAACAAACAGCTCCCATCTTCAGGTTCTGCTACCAAACCTTGACTCCTGACGAGAGGGAAAGGACAGGAACTAGAGTCTGAGAGGTGTGCCCACATTCTCCCTCTCTCTCAGGCCTAACTTCAGACCTGAGCAGAGCATCCCAGTCACCAGAGCCCTAGCTGGGAGGCACAGGGACTCTAGAGCCCAGTTCAAGAAGATCAGGCAGAGGGACCTTCTTGTAGGGCAGAGAGAAGCTGGCGAGGGCATTATGCATTCTGCTTTCTGGCTCTTTCTAGGCCATTGGGAGTTTACTTGGCCTCAGCAACATCCTACTTCCCAGAATCCCTCATCAGAAATTGGTAGAGATGCAGTCAGTTCAGAGATGCCAGAGGCTGAGGCAGGGCCTGAGTTCCCGCTCATGGTCTTCATTTTCTGGCTCCTACCCTTGTTATCACAGAGCCCATCAAAGGCCTGGTGGAGGCTTGCCAGCCTACCAAGCAGAAGGCGGCCTGAGGGTGCCAAACCCTCACATGTTTAGGGAAGGGAGGAGGAACTACCTACCAAGCTCTTAGTGCCTGCTTACCCTTCAGGGCTTCTCACAGCCTCATCACAAAGTTAGCAGTCCTTGCCAGAGCCCTGGAGCCCTCCCAGATCTGGACCAATGTCCTTCTGCCAGCCAGATTTATCCCTCCTCTGCATTCAGTATGACCGCCAGTCCCTGACCTATCTGCACCCAGCCACCTCTGTTTTCTTTCCTTGGTTGTTTTGTTGATGGAGTTCGTTTTTTGTTTTTTGTTGTTTTCAGACAGGGTCTCCCTGTAGCTCCAGCTGGCCTGGAACTCACTATGTAGACCAGGCTGACCTTGGTCTCACAGAGATCTGCCTGCCTCTGCTTCCCCAGTGCTGGGATTAAAGGCATGTGCCACCACACCCTG